GCTGCCTCACCTCCTTGACCGCGTCCTCCAGCTCGCTCACGAGCTCCGGCAGAGAGACGCGGAGCTCGGAGCGCCACGAGGCGCGCGGCGGGGAACTGCCCACCGCGGCCAGCTGGTCGCCGATGAACCGCAGCGCCCGGTCCGCCTCGTCGCACCGGCGCAGCTCGGGGAGGAACGTGCGGCGGAAGGCGGTGACGCCCTCGTTGAGGTCGATGAACATGAGCGAGCCGAGGGCGCCGAGCTCCTCGACGGTGTGCTGGGCGGCGTCGTGCTGCACGATCAGCTGCACCATGCACATCCGCTCCGAGCGCAGCAGCCCACTCGGCTCGCTCATCTTTGCCTCCCTCCTCTTGGCCTCCTGCTCCTCCGTCAGCCGCGCCATCCTTGCCTGGAGCTCCTTGGCCGCCCGAGTCTTGGGACTATCGAGCTCCTTGCTGCTGTCGTCGCTCGCGTCGTCGTCGCGCGCGACCGCCACCCAGCGCCCTCGTCGGAGAATGTCCCGTGGTGAAGCGGCGCCGGGCGCAGTAGAACTTGTGCGGGCGAAGCTTAAAGAATTCGGGGTTAGGGGCAACCGGACCACCGCGACCTTCGACAGGGAGGGCCACGCCTCCCCGAGCCTGGAGAGGAGCCGGCGGAGGGGGGGGGCGAGCCAGGGACGATAGAGAGGCCGCGAGTGCGGGCACGACTCGCCGACCAGGGAGAGCGGGCTCGACCCCCCGGGGAGGGGAGGCGACACGACCCAAAGGGTGGCAAGGGCGGCGGCAAGGGCGCTGGCAAGGGTGGTGGCCGTGTGGCGCACCAGACCCGCTTTGCGCCGCCGCCCTCAACGCCCGATACTCGGTTGAGCCGGCGGAGCGACGGCGGCAGAGTTGCGGCCGCCGGCGACCTCACACGGCGTCGAGCGCCGTAGAGACGGCCCCGAGAGCCGCCGCCAGGTGTGCCACGACCGCGGTCGCGAGGCTCGTGGCGATAGATGCGCCAGACCCGCTTGCGCCGCCGCCCTCAACGCCCGATACTCGGTCAGAGCCGGCGGAGCGACGGCGGCGGAGTTGCGGCCGCCGGCGACCTCACACGGCGTCGAGCGCCGTAGAGACGGCCTCGAGAGCCGCCGCCAGGTGTGCCACGACCGCGGTCGCGAGGCTCGTGGCGATAGATGCGCCAGACCCGCTTGCGCCGCCGCCCTCAACGCCCGATACTCGATCAGAGCCGGCGGAGCGACGGCGGCGGAGTTGCGGCCGCCGGCGACCTTCCCCTCGACCACGCCGCCGACCCGTCGACAAGCACAGGCGGACTGCCATCGAGAAGAAGGAGAAGGATGGCGGCGCATCCGGAGCCCGCGGGCGCAGCGGGCGCGGGTCCGGGCGCGGGCGGGCGCGCGGGAACCCCGCCAGCGGAGGCGACAATGCCTCTGGCGGCTCTGCAGGCGGCGCGCGGCGCGCC